CTGACTCTTTTTGTGCTGCTTGCTCATGATCCCAGCCAATTACTTGAGTTATAAACTCTTTGTTAAGGTAGGGGTCTGTTTCCAATGTGGAGAATGTACTGTTCCAAGCTTCGGGGGTTTTGTGCAGCTGTTTTCAAAGATACTTCTAGGGACCTGTAAATTTTCTGTTCTTCCAAGGTTCTATGATTAAGGGCAAGGTGTTTACTCCTTTCCTGGATTCAGCTCTGTTCTATGAGTGACCACAAGAACTCTTTTCTGTATGGGAACTATGAGGAGGATTTCTGCCACACCACTACTAGGAGCTCTCCCACACCAGCGCTCCTCCTCAACCCAGGACCACTACCCAGAACTGTGACCCAGATCCAAGTACAGGGAAAACAAGAGAATCATGCACCAGCAGAGAGATCCCTGCAATCTCTCTCTGATCAGCCACTTGATTCGCCCTCAGTCTGTGGGCCAGAAACTGAGGAGGCAGCTGCCACCCTGGGGCCAAGCTCAAGGACTGAACTGAGAACACCCGTGCTTCTCTCTCTCACTGCAGACACAGACTTTTCCCACTGACCTTTTAAGTTCTCTTTGGTGTTCATGGGTTGAGAAGTCTGAAAACTGCCACAGCTGCCTGTGATTCAGTCCCCTGAGGACTGCTCCAGGTTTGCTGTGGCCTGTGTGTCCATGCAGAACTGTGCTCTCCCTACCCAGAGTGATATACCTTTCCAATCATCCATCCAGGCTGTCTTGAGCTGGAAATTTGTTTCACTCTGTCTTTTGGGGTTCTGCTGCTTTAGAATTTGTTTAGAGGTACTTGGAGGGGTTTGGGGAAGAACTCAAGCAAGTCACTGCTTTTACTCCCTAAATTCAGTAATTTTTATATGCAATATTGTTGTCTTTGCAATATTTTTGAACAGATAAGCTAAAATAACTTGATAACAATCTTTAAAGATATCTTTAGTCATTTATTCAGTTATTTGCCATCCAAAGAACTGGAAGCAATTGATGGTTATAGGCTTTCGAGGATTTATAAATGAATAAATAAGCAGTGGTTTTCATTTAAAATCTCCTTCTGCATTAATTCCCCAAAAAAAGTGTTAGTGATCCTTACACACTTCAAAAATCCTGGTTGAGTTCTTTCTCTGAGAAATGTAAGTTCTTTTCAAGAATAAGCCTTGTTTCATACACATTTGAAAAACCTGTTGAGCCACTTCTTTGTTGTTTGTCTTCAAAGCAAAAACATATTTAGCTGTTTATCCTCATCCAAATTAGCTATCTCTCCAGGAATTTTAACATCTTATAAGAGAACTCAACTGCAAAGTGATCAAAATACTTTCAACAATAAAGGTTTTTTCATTTGGCACTTCATTTACGATTCTTTATGCAGCATTAAACAAACTTGAAGATTTTGTCTAAATGGCTACTCTGCTAAGAACTGCATTTTTTATTTGTCTTCCATCCAAACAGCTAAAAAATGCTCCATTTCTATCATTATAATCCTTCTAATTCTCATAGTTGTTGGTAAACTACTAAAAGCTGACACAAGTTTTCAATTTTTCTTTTATTTCACCTGAGTATTGTATAATATTCCATGCCATAGGTTCAAGCAACCCAACATCTTATCCTATCTTAAAGATACTATGACTAGGTTTATGTAATTCAATTACATAAAATTTATGCTCTAATGTAAGAGACCACTTCTTTTTTGGGCTGGCAGTGTTTCAGTCTGAAGAATTCATGCTGTCCAGTTTGATAAGGGATCTTTTAAAAACAATTAATATAATTATTGGTATTTTACTACCTAGCAACATATTACATCCACATGCAAAGTGATTAAAGTACAAGCTATGTTGTGGCACATTAAAACCCTTCATTAGCTGACACATGTCTCATTAATTGAAATTTGGCTCACATTACAAGCTACCTGATATTACTTTATAATTCGCACTAAATCAATTTTTTTTTATTATTAAAACTCATATTAATTACAACTGTTTTCCAACCTAACTGATATTAACATAAAGATTGTTCATAGTTTAAAAATATTAGGCATATGAAATCCATCAAAGCCTGATTATACTAAGAACATTTATAAAGTCAGGAAGATAAAAAAGAAACATAAAAAGAAACAGGTTTGCTGACATTTTTACTGACCTATCCCATCAGCAAGACTAGTGGAATTACCATATTTTGACTCCATCTTCCAAATTTCCTATTTGTTTTATAAGTAATAATATTCTTCCAATCTCCAAAATATGTAACCATAGTATTAACTTCACTTCTCAACCCACATATCCAATCAGTTACTGATTTTTTTGCCATTCTACCTGCACAACATCTCTCCCATCCAACCTGCTTTTTCTATTCACAAAGTCAAGACACGAGTTCAGGCCCTCATTACTTTTTGTCTGGATCACCGTAATGATTTCTAAATAGGACTTCATGTCTCAAATCTCTCCTCTCTCAAATATATTCTCCCATATTGCTAACAAAATGATCTTCTTTAAATACAAATCTGATGACATCACTCCTAGTCAATAAATTTCAATGACAACCTAATGCATCCATATTCAAATGCGAGCTCCTCTGGTTAGCTTTGAAAACCTTTTGTAACTTGGCCTCAATCTACATTTCCAGTTTCATTAAAATATATTACTCCTCTTCTTGGCCCAGCCAAAGTGAACTTGCTCACCATTCCTTACACACAGAACTCCATCTTCAGTTTCTATTCCTTTGCATTGGATATCTCCCACGGTACAATATATTCCTCCTTTCTCTTTACAGAGGAATCGTTCCTCCTCTCTCTCTTCAAGACTCAGTTCAAGCATCATTTTCTAAACAAAGCCTTTCCCAATCTCATGAAATACTAGTGTCCTCCTTCCCTAACTTTCTTAAATTATTCTTGCATTTATTTTGCATACATTTACTTATATATACTGTCTCTCAAGATAGAATACAACTTCTCTGAGAATAAAGATTATTTCATTTTTTAAAAATCTTATCTCTACTTCCTAGCACAGTACCTGGAACATAGTAAGTACTTAAGAAATGCTTGTTGACTGATTGATTCTATACTTATTGTAATATATTGATTATAATGTATTGAATAATATATTATTCAATGTAATTTATGTAATTTATAATAAAAGTAGTTATGTGTTGTAAGTCCCTAAGAAGAAATCAGTAAGAATTTTTGAACCTGAATAAATACATGTATAAGAAATTAAGTATATAGCATGGTGAATTTAAGAATATATTTGATTCTAAAAAAATTCAACAAATAGGAGACTCTCAAAGTATCTCTCATGTATAAACTAAAATCACTCAAGTATTTAAGATAAATAGTATATGAAATAACTGTTTGATGATCCAATGAATGCTGATATTAACTATAATGTAAAACTAGGAGTTGTTCACCTAATTGTGTTTAGTATCAGTAAAGAAGTCCTAATGTCTAATGTAGTCAGGATTCTTCAGATGCTCCTATTCTCAGATGACACTACACTGACAGAAACAAGCTGTTAAGACCCTGCAAAATCTCAGCAAAATCAACATCGATAGGAAAGGGAATCAAATTTATATACATACATATGTATAAATTTCCCATGCAATATGACATGCAGTTATAAGAGTAACTTGCTGAATTAATCATTATGTACTTCTAAAAGTTATAGCTATCAACTTCTAGTGCCAAGATGGCAGAGTGAGGCATGAACTCTCTGGAATCCTCCCAAATTCTCCTCCATCTAACTTGAAAAAAATCATCTCAGAACTGATTTTGGAGCAGGAAAGCAGCTTACTAGCTCAGCAGGAAAGGTCTGTCTCACTGTGGTGGGAGGTGAGCAATGTCCAAGAGTAGCAGCCTCAGGCCACACAACAGGGAGCCTGTAGCTAAGCTCCAAGCCTGGGCAATCCACCAGCGAGGCTCTACCCTCCTGTAAGCCAGCAGCCTTTACAGAACAGGCAGCATCACCCCAGCGCACCAACCACAGAAAGGCCACCAGGAAGGCCTAGCCCCCATTGCTGACCAGTAGCAAGGTCCTGCCCCTAGGCATCAGCCAGCAACAAGATTTCACCCCCAGAACCAGGCATCCATACCAACTCATTAGCAAGATGTCCCCTCTCCACTCAGGACAGAAGTAAAACCCTACCACAAAGGGATTCTCTCCCACCCTTCACCCAAAAGAAGCCAGCAGTGAGGCCTCACTCTAGCACAAATCAACAACTAGTCTCTGAGGCCGATAGAAAGCCAGCAGCAAGGCCCGAAGCCCCTGTACAAGAAGGTTGGTACAGTGTAAAAGCAAAAGCCAAAATAGGTAGAAAAAACAAACAAATGAAAAAGAACTTGACTATAAAAAGTTAGTATTGTAACACAGAGAATCAAGGCACAAACTTAGAAGAACATAACAGTGTCAAAATGTCTACATGTGAAGCCTCAAAGAAAAATGTGATTTGGCCTCTGGCCCAAAAACAAGTCCTAGAAGAGATTACAAATAATTTTTAAAAGCAAATTAGAAAAGTAGAAGAAAAACTGGACAAAGAAATGAGAGTACTGAAAGAGGACCATGAAAAAAGAGTCAACAGTTTGATGAAAGAAACAAAAAATGGAGGAAAATATACAAACATTTACTGAAGAAAATAACTTAAAAAATGGAATTGGCCAAATGGAAAAGGAGGTACAAAAGTTTATTGAAGAAAATAATTCCTTAAAAATTAGAATTGAGAAAGTAGAAGCTAATGACTCCATGAGACATCGAGAAACAATTTTTTTTTTGAAAAGCCAAAAGAATGAAAGGAAAATGGAAGAAAATGTGAAACTTCTCTTTGGAAAAATAATTAACCTAGAAAATAGAACTCAGAAAAAGAAATTGAACAAATCACTGATGAATTCCCTAGGAAAAAATCTCCAGGGCCAGATGGATTTACAAGCGAATTCTATCAAACATTTAAAGAACAATTAATTCCAATACTATATACACTATTTGGGAAAACAGGTGAAGAAGGAGTCTTACCAAATTATTTTCATGATACAAATATGGTGCTGATACCTAAACCGGGAAGAGTCAAAACAGAGAAAGAAAATTATAGACCAATTTCCTTAATAAATACAGATGCAAAAATTTTAAATAAAATATTAGCAAATAGATTACAGCAACTTATCACAAGAATAATTCACTGTGACCAGGTAGGATTTATACCAAGAATGCAGGGCTGGTTCAATATTAGGAAAACTCTCAGCATAATTGAGCATATCAACAACAAAACTAACAGAAACCACTTGATCATCTCAATGTATGCAGAAAAAGCTTTTGACAAAATACAACACTCATTCCTATTAAAAACACTAGAAGGCATAGCAACAAATGGAGTCTTCCTTAAAATAATAAGTGGCATCTACCTAAAACCTTCAACAAGCATCATATGTAATAGGGACAAGCTAGAAGCATTTCCAATAAGATCGGGGGTGAGACAAGGATGTCCATTATAACCACTGTTCTTCAATGTTGTACTGGAAACATTAGCTTTAGCAATAAGAGAAGAAAAAGAAATGATACAGAACATAGCTCCTCCAAGCCTGTTCATCTTGGGTTCATCTTGTCTATGATGTGTCCCAATCAGTGTGCTGGGGCTTTCCTCACTTTCTCTTGATACCCAGGATACCAGGGGATCATTCAGGCTGGGAATCATGGAGCAAATACATTTTATTAATCATTTGGATTTCACCACTAAATCTTGATTCACTTTACACCGTCAGATATAAACATGTATTTGAGTGCATTGCTTTGATGATTCTATAAAACAACCAGCATTTTATAGACATGGTTTTCAATTAGAAATTATGGGAAAGGGGGCAGCTAGGTGGCACAGTGGATAGAGTATCAGCCCTGGATTCAGGAGGACCTGAGTTCAAATCCGGCCTCAGACACATAACACTCACTAGATGTGTAACCCTAGGCAAGTCACTTAATGCCATTGCCTAAACCAAAAAAAAAGAAAAAAGAAAGAAAGAAAAAAATAAATTATAGAATATTAGAATAGGTAAAGTATTAGTAGAATAGTGTTAGAATAGTATTAGAATAGGTAAAGAGGAAAAAAAGTAATCACTCTTTACAGATGATATGATGATATACTTAGAGAATCCTAAAGAATCAAGTAAAAAACTACTTGAAATAACTTTAGCAAAGTTGCAGGCTATGAAATAAACTCACATAAATCAAGGGCATTTCTATATATTACCAACAAAGGCCAACAGCAAGAGATAGAAAGAGAAATTCCATTTAAACTTACTGTAGACATTATAAAATATTTACGAGTCTACCTACTAGAACAAACCCAGGAACTATATGAACACAATTACAAAACACTTTTCACACAAATAAAGTCAGATCTAAATAATTGGAAAAACATCAGTTGCTCATGGGTAGGCTGAGCTAATATAACAAAAATGACAATTCAACCTAACCTAATTTATTTATTCAGTGCCATACCAATCAAACTACCAAAAATTATTTCATAGAGCTAAAAAAATAATAAGATTCATTTGGAATAATAAAAGGTCCAGAATATCAAGGGAACTAATGAAAAGAAATGTAGGGGAAGGTGGCCTAGCCATACCAGATTTTAAATTGTATTATAAAGCAGCAATCTTTAAAACTACTTGGTACTGGCTAAGAAATAGAGTGATGGATCAGTGAAATAGGTTAGGTACATAAGACACAGAAGTCAATGACTATAGTAAACTATTATCTGGTAAACCCAAAGACACCAGGTTCTGAGATAAGAACTCACTCTTTGACAAAAAACTGCTGGGAAAACTGGAGAAGAGTATGGCAGAAACTAGGCATAGACCAAAATCTCACAATTGAATCAAAATGGGTTCATGATTTAGATATAAAGGCAGATACTACAAGCAAACCAGGAGGGCAATGAATATTTTACCAGTCAGATTTATGGAGAACAGAAGAATTCATGATCAAACAGGAGATAGAGAACATTATGAAAAGCAAAATGTATAACTTTGATTACATAAAATTTAAAAGTTTTTGCACAAAGCCAATGCAACCAAGATTAGGAGGGAAGTAGAAAATTGGGAAATAATTTTTACAACCAGTTTCTCTGATAAGGGCCTCATTTCTAAAATATATAGAGAATTAAGTCAAATTTATAAGAATACAAATTATTTCCCAATTGATAAATGGTCAAAGGTTATGAACAGGCAGTTCTCAGATGAAGAAATTAAAGCCATCTATAGTCATATGAAAAAATGCTCTAAATCACTACTGATTAGAGAAATGCAAATCAAAACTCTGAGGTATGACATCATACTTATCAGATTGGCCAACATGACAAAACAGGAAAATGATAAACGTTGGAGAAGATGTGGGAGAATTGGAACACTAATGCACTATTGGTGGAGCTGTGAAATGATCCAACCATTTTGGAGAACAATTTGGAACTATGCCAAAGGGCTACAAAAATGTGCATACCCTTTGATCCAGCAATAGCACTTCTAGGGCTGTATCCCAAAAAAGATCATAAAAATGGGGAAAGGGCCCACATGTACAAAAATATTTATAGCGGCTCTTTTTGTGGTGGCAAAGAATTGGAAATTGAGAGGATGCCCACCAATTGGAGAACGGCTAAACAAGTTGTGGTATATGAATGTAATGGAATACTATTGTGCTATAAGAAATGATGAACAGGCTGACTTCAGAAAAACCTGGAAAGACTTGTATGGTCTGATGCTGACTGAAGTGAGCAGAACCAGGAGAACATTGTACACAATAACAGCCATGTTGTGCAATAACTAACATTAATAAATTTAACCTTTCTCAGCAATACAAGGATCTAAGACATCTCCAAAGGCCTTGTGATGGAAAATGCTTATCCACAAAGAAAGAACTATGGAGTTTGAATGCAGATCGAAACATATTATTTGCTATTTTTTTCTTCTGTTGTGTTTTGTTTCCTCTTTCTCGTAGTTCCTCCTACTGGTTCTAATTCTTACTTGCAACATCACTAATGTGATGTTTAATAGGAATGTGTATGTGTGTGTGTGTATATATATATATAATGTATGTTTAATAGGAATAATAGGAATGTATGTGTGTATACATATGTACATATACATATATATCTCCTATATCAGATTGCATGCCATCTTGGGGAGGGAGGTGAGAAAAGAGGAGGAGTAAAATTTAAAACTCAAAAGCTTATGGAAGTGATTGCTGATAAATCAAAATAAATTAATAAAAAAAGCAAAAAGAATGAAAAAAATGAAGAAAATGTGAAATTCCTCTTTGGAAAAACAATTAATCTAGAAAAAAGAATCAGGAGAGAGAATTTAAGAATTATTGGACAACCTGAAAGCCACAATTTAAAAAAAAACCAGCTTGGACAACATCTTTCAAGAAATTATCAGGGAAAACTACTCTGATATACTAGAACTAGAGGGAAAAACAGAAATTGAAAGAATCCATCAATCACCACCTGAAAGACATCCTAAAATGAAAACTTCCAAGAACATCATAACCACATTCCAGAGCTCCAAGGTCAAGGAGAAAATAATGCAACCATCCAGAAAAAAGCAATTCAAATATCATGGAACTACAGTCAGGATTACACAAGATTTAGCAGCTTCCACATTAAAGAACTAGAGGGCTTTTCCAAAAGGAAAAGGAGTTAGGATTACACCCAAGAATCATCTACCCAGCAAAACTGAGTATATTTCTTCCATGGAAAACAAAACAGATATTTAATGAAATAGAGGACTTCAACCATTCCTATTAAAAGGTAAGAATTGAATAAAAAATTCAATCTTCAAATACAAGGCTCAAGAGAAACATAAAACAGTAAAAAAAAATAAGAAAGGGAAAACATAAAAGATTCAATAAGGTTTAACGTATTTATATTCCTATATGGTAAGATAATATTTGTACTCTTAAGAGCTTGATTACTATAAGAGCAATTAGAAGGCATATACGTAAACAGAGTGTGTATATAAGGTGAATTTGATGGAATGATACCCCCCCAAAAAATAAAGGGTTGAGAAAGAAGACTATACAGGAAGAAGAGGGAAGTAAGTGGTAGAATGGGGTAAACTATCTCACAACAAAGAGCTGTGAAAAAGCTATCCTAATGGAGAGGAAGATGGTAGGTGGTGAGCAAAGCATGGACCTTACTCTCATCAGAACTGGCCTAAAGAGGGAATAATATACACACTCAGTTGGACACATAAATTTATATTATCCTATAAGAAAGTAAAGAGGAAGGGGGATGAGAGGGGGGCAGGGAGCTGATAGAAGGGAGGGCAGAAAGCAGAGTCAATAATCAGAAGTAAAACACTTATGTGGAGAGAAAGGATGAAGGTAAAAGAGAGAGAAGGATAAACAAAGGAAAAATAGGATGGAAAGAAATGCACAGTTAGCTGTTATAACTATAAAGATGAAAGGGATAAATTCACCCATAAAATAGAAGAGGATAGCAGAATGGATTAAAAACCAGAATTCTCAAATATGTTTTTTACATGAAACACTAGTGAAGCACAGAAACACACACACAGAGGAAAGGTTAAGGGCTGGAGCAGAATCTACTATGCTTCAGCTGCAATAAAAAAAAAACATAGGGGTAGCAATCATGATCTCAGACAAAGCAAAATCAAACGAAAAAAATATCTAATTAAGAGACAAGAAAGGATACTATATCTTTCTAAAAAGTTACCACAGACAGTGATTAACATATATGCACCAAAGGGTATATAAACTAAATTTTTGAAGAAGTTGAGTAAGTTACAGGAGGAAATAGACAATAAAACTATATTAGTGGGGAACTTCAACTTTCCCCTCTCAGAACTAGATAAATCTAACAATGAAGAAAGAATTTAAGGAGGTGAATAGAATTCTGGAATAGTTAGACATGATACAAGTCTGGAGAAAACTGAATGGGAATAGAAAGGAAGAAACCTTTTTCTCAGCAGTATGTGACACTTACACAAAAACTGACCATTTATTAGGGCATGAAAACCTCACAACCAAATACAGAAAAGAAA